TCTTGCTTCAAATATGTGCTAGTAGTGGGTGAAAATTAATCTGTCCACTGCATTGGATTTCAAGTTGACGTCATTTTTTATGACGCATTGCTCCTTGCACCAGTGATTTACAACATGTACTCGTATACGGGTGTCAACGCATCACACGTTTTTCTTTGCGATATTTTGTACAGGATGGATCGGCTTCGGTCAACCACAGTCCACAGGTCCCGGATTCGTCTGATAATCCGTGTACAGTGCGCATTGCATCATCGAAATGACGTCAACTTGAAATTCTGTCGGGACAGGTCTAGCACCCATAGTGGAGTTGCACACTCTGGGGCAGGGAGTCGTAAAATACCAGGTATTTTACGACTCCCAAATTTTACGACTCCCTGCTCTGGGGGGTTATGTACTCTTGGTTATAGCAAAAGTAGATTACTGTAAAAGCAGAAATTTTCGGTGGTGTAATATTTTCGGTATTCGCCAAAATCGGCGGTTCGGTAGCGGGAAATTTTCGGTAAAACCCGTTTTCCAGGTAAGTGTACTAGTACTACAGGTATACAGTATCGGTTGTACCGACAATTTCGGTGCGTTTTATTTTCGGTAAAAATTGTCGGCACCGAAGTTACCGAAAATAAAACACCACCGAAAATTTCTGCTTTTACAGTATAGCAATAAAAACTGCTTTATGGCAGTTTTCTAAAAAAGTTATTGTGTTCTAGTCCATGGACCCCGTCTAAAAAGTAAGAAATTAACGAAATGTGATAGCCGAAAATTAAAATTTCACACAAAACCTCATAATAATCACAACACTTGAAATGCTGCTTTCAACACTAAACTTGTACTGCACCAACAATTGGCAACATGCATGCATAGGAAAGAGGATCACGAGGAGAAAAGGTCTTCTACGGTACATGTAGCTTTTCATTCTGTGTGTGATTATTGTGAGGTTTTGTGTGAAATTTTAATTTTCGGCTATCACATTTCGGTAATTTCTTACTTTTTAGACGGGGTCCATGGACTAGAACACAATAACTTTTTTAGAAAACTGCCATAAAGCAGTTTTTATTGCTATAATTTCTTTCTTTTTTTCTGTCACCAATTAATGGAATGCCTTATATCAATATGGAAATGATGGCCTTCACATCAATACCGCATTATACGCATGATGTGCAAGCCTTTTCTTGCAGAAAATGGCAGTAGCATAATGCATGTTCTTTGGCGGGGAAACATGTGAGTCGTGGTCTGGTGGTGGTGATACTTTTTTTATACGGAGGTCATTCTGTGCATGTTGCAATTTGCTGTTGCAGAATTTCATGACTGTCATAAAATTGTCTTGCCTTTCAGATATTCCAGATTTCCCCACCCTCGATCAGATTTATTTGAGAAATGTAGCCAGGTGCGTGTCGTAGATGTTTTTGTTGATTCTGTGTTCATAATGGTTTATAATCATGGGTTATCGTGATAAGGTCATCCTGCATCATATTGCACTGAAATGGTAATCCTGTTGATGCCGATACAACTTTTGGAAGTAGTTCAATGACTTCAAACTGTTAGTCCACGATTTTCTAAAACAACACAGCAAAGGAGGAACAATAAACATGTATTAAAATGTAAACGAATACATTGCTGAGTCCAAAACCTCGTTCCAACAACTACACTGATCCTGAGGAGAAAAGGGGCAAGGCTATGGTTGGAGGTACTGAGAGATAAACAAGGCACTCCACAATAATAATCTTACACATCTTTTGGTGAGTATGAATGATATCCAGTCGAACCTCTTTAGGACGAACACCAAGGGACCGATGGTATTTATTCTGTGAGCTTAACCTATTTTATAACCAGAGAATACAATTATATCTCCAATAGACATACGAATAGATTTCTTCTACAGCAAAAGATTCTAAGCCACACCGACTCATTGACTCGTCTCGTATGAAACAATTGAGTCACTAGAGAGATTCTGCAAAACGAAAATGCGTACAAACTTTCGCTCTACATCATGAAGTGCGAAACTTCGCACCTTTGGACGCGAAACTTGCAGGGAACGCGAAATGAACTGTCGTAGGAAATTTCGTGAGATCGGGTCATGGCGTACGTGCACTTGGCCCGCGCAAACTACGAAAATGTGCAGAACGCAAAGTTCGTGCAAAAATTCGCACACACTTTCGCAAGGACTGTCGCGAAACTTCGTTCGAATTTTCGTTTTGCAGAACCTCTCTACTGAACCTTTCTTTAGCAACATGACGGCAACTGAAACAGCAACAGAGAAAGTACGATACATGTACTCCACATTCTTACAGGTACTACAAACAGATTGCAGATCGTAATTCTTGCTTTGGCGGCACGAAACTTGATTTGGGGCAGTGCAATCTCGGCGGTACTCACAAATCAAACAGCCCAGACTCGAGTAAACAAATCCAAACATACAAGTAGGAGATTTTCATGAGACGAGACTGCACCCATTGGCTTGTTTCGTATGAAGCAAACAAGTTACTGATCCTCTCCACAATGGAGATTTTCCCTGATATGCGAATTTATTTGGCAAACTCGGTCAATGAGTCCTTGAACCTTTCCCTCCAGATTGGGAACTGCCAACGATAGTATGCCACTGACCAGTGCCTTACTTGTAACGTACTAATGTGCAATGAATATGAGTCTTTCGACAACACATCTAACATAAGCCTTACCGTCAAGAAGGTGAACTCGCGTTCTTCGCACACTGTAGGCAATTAACAAGTGCAAAGAGATAAAATGGATCTAAATCCGAATAAAATCAGCACACGTTTCCGTAAATGAAAGGGTGAGCATAAGCAAATGAATCGAAGGAAACTGGTCAACTCAGAGATCACCTGTCATTGAGTATTCCGTAAAAGGAGGCCTCGGCAGCGGAAAAGCTAAATTTAGAAAGGAGATCCTGTCAGCTTTTCCATTATTTATTGCATTCCGCCCAAAATCAGCACACTTTTCGTAAATGAAAAAGTCAACACAAGCAAATGAATCAAAGGGAACTGGTCAACTCACCTGTCATTGAGTAATATTCCGCGAAAGGAGGTCTCAGCAGCGCCGAAACGAAATAAGCCAGGCCAGGAGACGAAATATCCGAAACAGCTCATGTAAGAAGCAGTTCCAAAGAAGGAAGTTCCTCGTGCATGCACATCCGAAAAGGCAACAACAAAAAGTCTGCAATGCACAGGCAAGCGGCCAGCCGGCCGCGCGATGGTACATGTAGGAGCCATGGAGTAGCTCCCTGGTCCAGGACCAGGTACCGAGCATCTTACGTAGAAACTTACGTAGCTACGTAGACAACGTGTCTGAATAGCGGTGTCGTTAGGTAGCGCCATGTGAACACAATAATAGAAAAGCTGACAGGATCGCTTTTCTAAATAAACAGTTTATCTACTCTTGGTTATAGAGAGGCCTTCCCAAGGCGAGTGAGGGGGCGGGTAAATGAAACCGAAACGCCCTGGGTCCATGGAAAATTTGCGCGCGCACGCGCGTCTGCTCATGCACAGAGTGCCACAGACCGCGTACCGGTGAATGTACGTTGTTGTAGCTCTCTGTGTGCATGTGGTGCATGCAGTGCATTGGCCGTTACTTTGTTATTTTTAGAGCGCGCGTTCATGGTGAGCCGGGCTTATTCAGCTCGCCCCGAGCTGAACTAGGCCTACCGAGCTTATCAAGAGTACATAACCCCCCAGAGTGTGCAACTCCACTATGGGTGCTGTCCCGACAGAATTTCAAGTTGACGTCATTTTGATGATGCAATGCGCACTGTACACGGATTATCAGACGAATCCGGAACCTGTGGTTGACCGAAGCCGATCGATCCTGTACAAATTATTACAAAGAAAAACGTGTGATGCGTTGACACCCGTACACATGTTGTAAATCACTGGTGCAAGGAGCATTGCGTCATAAATAATGACGTCAACTTGAAATTCTGTCGGGACAGCAGGGTATGTGGGAGTTGCACACTCTTGGGGGGTTATGTACTCTTGAGCTTATGCAATCCCCAGGGCTTATGAGCGAGTTTTTCCGTATTTTTTTGCTAATTGCAATTCAGATTTTTTTAAACCTCAACAGCACCGGAAGAAAAACGAGCAAAAATGGTTGTGAAAACAGTCGAGAGAGCAAAAATGGCTGTGAAGACAGTCGAGAGAGCAAAAAAGGCTGTGAAAACAGTCGAGAGAGCAAAAAAGGCTGTGAAGACAGTCATTTTTTTCCGTATTTTCGAGTTTGCCTCGTGAACCAGATCGGATGTCGCCGTGGCGAGTGCGTCTCCTTTGTTTCTTTCTTGGCATTTTTTCTTCTGTTTTTTTGTTTTGTTCAGTGGAAGGTGTAGGCGATCCTTCACCTTCTCGAAAAATAAGTGACAATCGGAAAGCAGTACGAGCGTAGAAGCGTGAGCCTAGCCAGCACTTCTTGATCCAAATCTCATCATACCGGTAATCAATAATCGAACATTTTTTTCCATTGATGTGCGATTTGAAAATGGAATGCGCGCAGAACTAGCAGGCCCGGCACTCACCTGAACTGAGCAAAAAAAAACCTGAACTGAGCCCCGTACAACTAGTCATGTAAACGGTTGAAAAATAAGTGTGAGGCGAATAAGCCCGGGCTTATTCGCCTCATGTCGGAGCTACCTCATCTGGTAGATACTCAGTATGTACACAGTGTGCTGTTCCGAACTGCACCCGCATTGCAGCTACATGTACATGTATTTGCTACCTGCACTGGATTGCCAATCGCGCCATACTTTTTTTCGCGCCATACTTTTTTTTCGCGCCATACTGCAGTTATACGTGTACGTGATGCGTAGGTGCCGCTGCTTTTAATTTTGGTTTTCGCTCGCTTTCCTGCCTGGCTGTCGCTGATGAGTACGGCCGTGTTCTTTCATTTTGCCTCACTGTAGTCCGAAAGAAGGTTTCTCTCTCGAACGGTCTTGTTTCGTAACCTTCCTTCCGCGTTCGTGCCAGTTCTGAATTTTAGTTGAGATAGCCACCAGCATCATCATCATGTCGAGCCTCCCATCTCTTCAAGCTGACTATGAGCCCGTAGGCAAGGAGATCAAAGTCAAGGACTTGGACGCATACTTGGTCGGCCAGGGCACCAGAGCACTGGTTCTTGCCCACGACATTTTCGGTTGGGGCCGCACGACCACCAGAGCAAGAGCGTTCTGTGACCAACTGGCCAATGAAGGGTTCCTGGTGATCATGCCCGACTTCTACCGAGGCACAGCATGGCCGCCGCGCAAACCTGTGGATGACGACATGGTACCTTGGCTTCAGACCGTTCCCGTGGAGACTCTGCTGGATGATGCTCACTCCAAGATTCTCCCATACCTTCGCGAGGAACACAGTGTCAAGTCCATTGGCTGGGCTGGCGTCTGCTGGGGCGGCTGGTTGGGTCAGAAAGTGGCTGCGACCGACGGTGCCGTGTCCTGTGGCGTGTCTTATCACCCAAGCCTGCAAATGGAGGAGATGGTCTATGGTGGCAACATGATGAATATGTTGAGCGCCGTGACGTGCCCCCAGCTGTTGATGCCCACTGGTAACGACCCTAAAATGGCACAGGAAGGTGGTGAGGTGATCGCAACGCTGAACGCATCGTCCGTTGAGAGTGTGCGCGACGGCTGCCAGATCCACGCCTTCCCCGACATGGTGCACGGCTTCATGTGCAAGATCATCGAGGACATTACTAAGGAGGAGGTGATTCGCGATGCGACACTTGCCTTCCGGCTGTCCATTGATTTCTTCAAGAAGCATATGGAGGAGTGAACACAACTGAACTGTCTTTTTGTTTTATTGTTCGTACTGTGCTATTTGCTGATTATGGTGTATTGCGTTTCGGCTGCTTCTTTTCATTATCGTTATTATTTTTAAAACGACCCAAAGACTATCGATTGCTTCACTTGATTGAAAGAACAGTACTACTGCTATTAGTATGTGCAAAGACAAGTATGGCCTGATGATGAGGAGGAGGAGGAGGAGAGAGAGACGGGGGAAATGATTTCGTCAATTGCTAAAATCAAGTTAGACTTGGGTTTTAAACTTTTAGCAAGAGTACATAACCCCCCAGAGTGTGCAACGCCGATCCAGCTAGCTCTGCATTGGGTCTTGGGCTGTGTTTACATGAGAAATTTCAACCCGGGTCGAGTTCAGCCCGGGTTGAAAGTCTGTACGATAGACAAAAGAGGTGAGCGTTTTTTTTTTTTTTTTTTTTTTTTTACTAAGGCCACAGCTTCCAATCATGACATGCAAAGCAGTGGTGCAGCATCTAGTACTTCAAAAGTACATGAAGACAGTTGACCCGGGTCAAATACTGATATGCCGCCAAAAGTCCACTTCTACACGAATCTACAGTCTAGTCCTGTATGGTCACGTGAATCCGTTCGCGCGAAGTCTGCATCTGCAGTGCCGTTCAAACCTGGCGCGAGATACGCACAGAAGTACGTTTGTACGATTTTCTTGACCCGGGTTGATTTCAACCCGGGTCAAGCGCAATGCGTCATGTAAACGCGCATTTTATGCCCATGGCGGGTTGAAACGCCTCATATAAACACCGCCTTGGGCTGTGTTTACATGAGAAATTTCAACCCGGGTCGAGTTCAGCCCGGGTTGAAAGTCTGTACGATAGACAAAAGAGGTGAGCGTTTACATGAAGACAGTTGACCCGGGTCAAATACTGATATGCCGCCAAAAGTCCACTTCTACAGTCCTGTATGGTCACGTGAATCCGTTCGCGCAAAATTTGCATCTGCAGTGCTGTTCAAACCTGGCGCGAGATACGCACAGAAGTACGTTTGTACGATTTTCTTGACCCGGGTTGATTTCAACCCTCCCCTTGGGGGGAGGGTTGAAATCAACCCGGGGCGAAATTTCAACCCGGGTCAAGCGCAATGCGTCATGTAAACGCGCCATTCACTTTGTGCACATGGCGGGTTGAAATCTGACCCGGGTCGAACTCAACCCGGGTTGAAACGCTTCATGTAAACACAGCCCAAGTCGAGCGACGAGCGGAATCGGATCTTCTGATGTCATGCGTACACTCCACACCAGCGCAAGCATGCACCATTGTTTTTGATCCAAGAGTATACTAGTACCCGGGTTCCCCTCAGATGTGTACGGTATTATGACGCAAAGATCCGATTCCGACAAGAGCCGCGTCAAAAATCAAGTCTTGTTTCGCGCTTTTTGGTGTACTCGTGCACGCCACGATTATCGTGAAAGTGGGCCCCCAGCCAGCTCGCTTTCACTTTTCAGCTACTTTTACAGGCACTTTTCTCGTTCACAGGTAAAATACCATAGCAACTTTCCGGTGCACGTGGATTTGCCTGTCGTGTGAATACCCCATAATAGGCCATTCACACGTTTGTGACCAAGATAACACTGGCAAACCGTGATCCTGTTCACACGGTGCTGGGCCAACTTTGCAACCGTCAATGTATCCATAGTGACCTCCTGAAAATGCCGGGAAATGTTCAATTTTGAATTTTCCCACTGCATTTGCAGTACGCACTTTCAACAACCGACACTTTTCCTGGCGTGCAAAGATAATCGCGAGCAAAAGGGCCTCGGCCAAGATAAAAAATCAGTTGCAAGCGTGTGTCCAAGTTAATCGTATCCGAGTAAATATCCCTGGAAACAGTACGATAAAAGTAAGTTTGCCCGTCGTGTGAATGGCCTATAATATAATGCCGTTCTTTGTGGAGTGTACACGTGCATGTGGTGTATGTTGTGTCTGTTGTGAATGGTCCGTGCGCTGGAGTACTGCCGCCGTACAAGTATTAGTTCACTGCCTTTCAGGCACGCTGGTTGAGGGAATCCTCTCTGGCATGTCCTACCTGCCCGAAGTCACGCAGCTTACGCTGCACAGGAAGTCCGAAGTCCGCAGCCGACAGCGGAATAAGGAGTCAACCATCGCCAAGGATGTCGTCTCAGCCGCTTCACAGGACTTGCAGCGTTGTGTGGAGCTTGCTTCGCTGAAGGCTCACCACGTGCCAGCCACTGAAAGTCCACGGATTCTCCCTCAGCAAGGCTGGCTTTCGCGACGCCATCCATGTTCGCTATGGCTGGATCCCCCCCAATGCTGCCGTCCGCCTGCGTCTGTGGTCAGGCATTCAGCACCGCGCATGCCCTGTCGTGCCCTATTGGAGGGTATCCATCACTCCGGCATAGCGAACTGCGAGACATCACCGCCTCACTGCTTTCACGCGTCACACATGACGTAAGTGTGAAGCCGTCTCTCCAGCCACTTTCCGGGGAACGGATGAGGCATCGTACTGCAATCGTACTGCAATCAGAGAGGATGGCGCCCGCCTAGATGTTGCTGCCAGCGGGGTGTGGGGCGGCCGTTTCGAGAGGACATTCTTTGATGTCCGGGTATTTAACCCTTTCGTCCGATCGAACACCGCTCCCTCCCTCAGTAGCACGTTCACTAAGCACGAGAAGGAGAAACGGCGACACTATGAAGAGCGTGTTAGGGAAGAAGAGAAGGCATCGTTCGTCCCCTTGGTGTTTTGTGCCTCCGGTGGTCAAGGCAAGGCTGCCTCTGCTTTCCTCAAGCGCATTGCATCAATGCTGGCCGAGAAGCGGAAGGAACCGTTCTCCATGGTGATGGCTCACCTCCGTTGCCGCCTAGGATTTGCCCTCATCAGATCGGCGATTGCAAGACTTTCAGCTCGTGCTTATCTTGGTTGCGCTCACCTTCCCCTCCTTATGTTATTTCTATAACTTAGAACCTTCCAAGTTGGAAGGCTATTGGAGTGTGCATCCAAGATGTGCTAGAGCTGTTAGCCAGTTAGTTGTAGAACGTCAGTACCGTCGGTCAGTGTCGTGCAATGTTATCGCATGAACTGATTGTTTAGTAACTGGTGGTGTTAGTGGACATTATAGCGTAACTTGTAGTTCCTTGGTCTTTCTCTTTTGTATAAATTATAATTATTATAATCTTTTTTTCAGGATTATCAAAAGGCCTACGCCAATCGGGTGGATCACCTATTTTGTTTAACTTAACAGCACAGGTTCCTTCCCTTGGAGTCGCTACTCTTCCCATTGTTGTGTTGTTCTGCTACTTCTCTCCCCTCTTCTTACGAGTAGGTTGTGTCTCCAGTTTTAAAAATATAAAATAAAATACATAAACTCCACCCTTGCGTCGTCTCTGCCTCTCTCATCATCGTGACTCCAACCCAATGGACGTCAAAAAGTCCTTGTCACACTCAGCAATTCACTTGTCACAAGTAGCCACACCCCCAGTGCAGAGCTTCGTGCCGGGAGGAACACCATGATGGCCACCTTTCCTCTTTCCTAACCTAGCCATTTCTGATTGCAGCACGAGCGTGTGCGCACATCGGTTCAATAAGTCATTTTTCATGAATATTATTTTTGTCTAGGTTTGATGGGACACTTTTTCCGTCGCGTGGGTATTGCGCCCGGACAGGAACCAAAATGTTCGGAAAATGTCCGATGTCTGCCCGTTATCATGGCACTGTTTATTTCACGCACTGATAGTAATAAAAAAATCTGTGTCAAGTGAAAGGCAGGTACATGTAGACCATTACGTACAGAACTGCTCCACGACGGGAATTCCTGGTTTTCATGTAGCGCTAGGCCTTGGCGGATAATGCTCGAAAAGGTGGCAGATTCTGCTTTTTTTGCACCGAAATTGGCAGAACCATACAAACCTTATGGCGGGCAATTCCTCGAATTCTGCTCCATTTCTTTATCCACATACCAAACATGCATGAAACTTACCAGAAAAAGTACCGAATTCTGCCAATTTTTCTGCCGGCATTATCCGCCAAGCCCTATGTAGCGCTCAAACTAGATGTCAGGTACAGTCAAACCTGTCTAAGACGACCGCTGAAAGGACCTTCAAAACGTGGTCTTTGTTACCAGGTGGTCGGTCTCCTTATTCAGGATCATTTGCCCTTGTATTTTCCTGGGTTTTTTCTTTTCTTTTTCTCTCTCGTTTTTTGCGTTTTTTCATTGATTTTGATGTTAAAAGGGGATTAGGGACTCTTGGATCTTTCCTCTACCAAATGGTACCGTTTACACATACAATTGTGTTTGGATGGACATTTTAAAGAGAACTCGGCTGGAGAGCCAATGAATAGTTTATAGTAACGAAACAGGCCAAGGAATCAAAAGTTACGCTAAATTGTCCACTGACACCACCTATTACTTGATAATCAGCTCATGCGATATAGCCAATTAGTTGTAGACCGTCAGTACTGCCTGCGCAATGATATCCCACTAGCTGATTGTCAAGTGGACAATATTATAGGTGTTAGTGGACACTGGACAATACATGTATAGCACAACTTGTAGTTCCTTGGTCCTTTTTCTTAGGGCCTGTCCAGACTAGGTAGAAAACCACGTAAACACGCCGTAAACATGCTTGTTGCCAAGGTGAGTGACGAAAAATGGCCGATAACGGGGAACGTGGGATTCACGCGGAACGTGAGTCGAGGACCCCTGTACAAAGCACGTTTCTCATCTACGTGCCGTTTTCGCAGTGTTTGTTGTGTGAGAGTCGATCGGTGGAGTTTTCGGATCGCACTTTTCTTGCTGTTTCCAGCTGCTGCAGCTTGTTTTTGCTTTGCCGTTTTCATAATGCCACACGTCCGTTTCAGCTACGACTCTGAGGCGACATTGATACAGTCGTGGCTGGACATGCAGAGAAATCCCGGGGTCTGGTGAAGAGGAAGGTGTTGTAGAGAGAGAGAGAGATAATTAACTGACGAGCGAGCATTTGAAACTGTTTGGATAGGAAGTAG